TAGGGTTGTCATGGGTTAGAATTGACTCGAAGGCAGTGAAGGGTATTTTTGTTTGTTTTCTTTAATTATATGCTTCTCAGGACAAAAGTATTATCGTCTTCCTGTGATTCCCTTTGTTGCACACTCATTTCACTGTGGTAGACTGACACTGATGCCACAACGTGGCAGAGGCAGGTCTGTGCCCATGTGAGCACGAGAGGGAAAAGCAAATTTGATTCTAACTGAAAAACATCATAGCCTGGGGACAATATGGGCATTTCCCCCCTCTGATCTTTGTAGAAGTCATGATGACCAGTATCAGACAGAACACAAAAGAGTGAACAGTGTGAGTTTTGTAAATACACTATACTTTTTCCAATTAGTCTGTCAGTTTGTTATACCGTCATGGCTTACACGTTGCTGAGACACTAAAGCCTACGCCATAATATGTTCAAATAGCAGCAGGGCCACCCAAGGTGAACAAGTTTCAGAGGAACTTCCTGACAAAGAAGGATTAGGAAGAAGGAAGCAGCAGTCCACCTCTGAGAAATGAGCCACTGAAAACCACGTGGATAGCAGTGGAACATGATATGAGATAACGCCAGCTGATGACCACTTCAGGTTAGAAGGGATTCAGAATATGGCTAAGGAAAGGCAGCCTCCTCAAAGTAGGGTAAACTTTGATGACATGGATGTAGCAAAGCTTTGAGACCTTCACTTGCTTGTAGGGCAAATTCAAAAGAAACTGCTACAAACATCCACAGATCATGAGAACATGGAATCATAAAAAGTATGAATCTAAGAAAACTGAAGTCATCAGAAATGAAATGGAACTCATAAAGATAGATACCCTAGGCATTGATAAGTCAAGAGACTGGTAACAGCAACTTTGAATTGAACTAATAACATGGTCTACAATGCCAAAAGTAAGTGTAAAGAGGAATGGTATCTCATTCACCTTCCAAGAGTATTTTAAGATCTACCCTGAAGTACAATGAAACAGTGATAGAATAATGTCCATACTTCTACAAAGAGATTAGTCATTAAGACTATGCTTATTTAAATGTATGAAACAACCATCAAAGCCAAAGATTAAAAAAAATTAAGAGTTCTACGAACATGTGCAAATTGATCAAGCACACAATCAAGATTAGGCCACAGAAGTTGAAAACAAAGAGAAAGATCAGTAGTTGAAAAATATGGCCCTTCGACTCAAGTACTTCCTCAACACAAGAA